ATTGTGCATGCTTCAAACCTGGTCTGGTTCTTCTCTGTGTCTCCTACTGTTTTTATTTTTTTATTTTTTTAGCTACTGCCACATCAATTTTTTTGTGTTACTAAAATAAATCTTTAGGTTTTATTTAAATTTCCTTATGTTTGGAATAAGTGAAAACTTATTCCAACTTCTAAAACTGAAACATTATCATTTGAGTAACTGTTCATCAAGGAGTGCACAGTAACTGCTCCTTTACTTTTTTGTGAACAGTTGGAGCTCAGCAGTCTGAAGACGTGTCGCAGTCACCAGAAACTTATTTTCTTTACTTTGGAAACAAACTTGTCTTTAAAATATATGCCGTATGCCGCAAAATCCAATTTTGAGGAGGACACGTTCTGAGCAGAAATGTCCTGCTGCCACTTCAGATGAAAGCAGGTCCACAGTGACGGAGGGGAAATGTCAGGCTGTGGGTCTTCTGAGTGAAGGAGTGAGTCACGCTGTGTCCTGCAGAGYGACTGGAGCCATTAGAGGCTGGAGACTGGGATCTCCAAAGTCATTAAACAGATTGAATATAATTATCTTAAAACACGCACAATCATTTTTTTATTCTACACACATCTTGAGTGATGTGCAAATGACAGCATTTGTTACACGCTTAATCATCATGAACACCTGGAAGTGAGTCAGACAGAGGAAAAGAGTCGGCACGAGTGGATCAATACTGTCAGAGAGACTGAATTACTGCTGCTGACTTAACCAGAGTCTGATTTTTGGATTGTTTTTCTGAGTTTAGAAGAGAACCCAGTGTCTCATCTGATTAGAGTGAAGCTACTTTAATTTCACGCAGCTGTGAGTTCAGAAGGAAGAATTTGTTGTCTTGCATTTTTTTTTACTTCTGCTATGTTGGCTGCATTTATATTTACTGATTTTCTTTCAAATATGCTAATAAATCATTAAAATGCTAACAAATAAATAAATAAATCCTTCATCAAATCAAGTGTAAGAAGCTGAGCACTTTTGTTTCTTTCTTGAACATTTTATACTTAATCTGATGCAAAGTTGCATCAAAAATGTGTTCAAAGCTTTTTAGATACTGTATATGTTGGTTTATATATTTATTTAGTCTTAATTGCATTTGATGGAATACAAATATTATTTTATAAAGATAGCTGTAAAATTACAGAAAACTACTTCTCATTGGTACCTTGCAAAAACCAGCAACTTTTTCATTGTCGCTGGAAGCAGCTCAATTGAACCTGTCCCCCAGTTTACGAGCCTTGGTGTCATGCTAGACCAGTGGTTCCCAAACTTTTTGTCTTCTGGCCCACAAAACGTTCATGGCAAAAACTTGTGACTCCAAATATTACTGGTCTGAGTACACAAACTTTGTTCATAACCCTAAAAACAAAGACTACACAAATATAAATACTT